GAATAAGACTCTTTGCACACAAATGGTGTCCATAGATATCAGTGAAATTGACTTACAATGGATTCAAGTGCTGTCTGAGGGGTGGGCGCCTCCACTAAAAGTTAGTTTATATTAATTACATTACATTGACATAATTATCAAAACCAATCTCTCACTCAAAAGTACAATAATTTGAATAAAAACATTGAAATAATGATTTAAAACAGGGATTTATGAGAGAACGAGAATACCTTCAATGTCTTAATTTTGGACTTTTAGTCGATGAAGGCGTACAAAATCATACCATTCCTATAGTACTGGCCATCACTGATGAAGACAAAGAGCGTCTGAATGGTGAGACTAAAGTTGCGCTCAAATATCAGGACAACTTCGTAGCCATTCTCGAGTACATCGAGATCTATGAGCACCGGAAGGAGGAAAGAGTAGCCGCTGTCTTCAAAACCACAACCACTGGTCATCCGTACATCAAAATGATAGCCCAAATGGGGGACTGGCTGTTGGGCGGCGACCTCCATGTGATCGATAGAATCCAATGGAATGATGGACTCGATAGCTATCGATTGACGCCAAAGGAGATCCAACAGAGACTGAAACAAATGAAAGTATAAAAAGTGTTTGATAAGAAAAATAATAAACTTTTTTGATACTAATGTTAAGTTTCATTTGAAAGGCAGACGCAGTGTTTGCATTTCAACTGCGAAATCCCATACATAACGGACACGCGTTGCTAATGCAGGACACCCGCAGACAACTGCTGGCCAACGGCTACTCTAATCCCGTATTACTGTTACACCCATTGGGCGGTTGGACCAAATCAGATGACGTGCCCCTAAACGTACGGATTAGTCAACACAAGGCTGTCCTCGATGAAGGAGTTCTGGACCCGAACACAACACTAATGGCTATATTTCCGTCTCCCATGACATATGCCGGTCCCCGAGAGGTCCAGTGGCACGCAAAGGCTAGACAAGTAGCCGGTGCTAACTTTTATATTGTCGGCAGAGACCCGGCAGGTCTTCCCCATCCAGACATACCCGGCGAAGACCTGTATGAGCCGACGCACGGCACGAAAGTGCTGCAAATGGCTCCGGGACTCAATAACATAGAGATCATACCATTTAGAGTCGCCGCTTATAACAAACAACTCAAACGAATGACATTTTATGATCCAAACAATCACTCGGACTTTGAGTTCATATCGGGAACTAAAATGAGAAATTTTGCTAAACAGGGACAGACACCTCCCG